TGGATAGGTAGAACAGAAATTAAGTCTGAATTCTTTCTCTTGCCCCTCTTCCCTGGTGCTAACAGAGCTTAACTGGTCCTCCGTCAGTGTGAAGCGGAGCAGAAGAGGAATGGTTGGTTGAGTCTCTTTGAGGTAGCACAGGTGTATAACACCACAGCTGTTAGTTTGGTGAAAAGTGTATATTGTTTCACTTGACAGAGTGGTGAAATGACTGCTGTAGAGATGGGTGTGTTCCCAGAGCTGCCGGCAAGGGAAGCGGGATCTTTGTGCAGCCTTGTTGCTTGGCACGAGTCCTGCTTCTCGAAGTCTCTGTTGGGCATAATTAAATTACTGTGAGAGGGCTTTTTTTAAACTGTTGCGACTTTTTGAAAAGGCATTTTGTAACCTGATTAGCTTGAAAAGCCTAATTAGATGGTTTGTTGTCTAGAAATAGCATCTTTCACTAAATTCCAAAAGACATTGCAGTGAAAATTGTAGGTTTGTAGCCATAGTTCTGAACGTAAACCCTGTTCAGCTCTGAAGGTGACTTTCTTTACTTTCAGATATAAGGCTTTTTTTTTTTTTTTCTTTTTGTAGAAGATTAAGGTAAGGGTGCTTGGAGTGCTGCGTTAGGATTCTGTGGTGGTGTTAGTCTATGGTTGGTGGTGTTTCTGACTGTGTCAGCAGGCTCACCTGGGAATTTGGTTTCAGTGCAAGTGCTCTGGAATGGTGTTATAGGTCTGTGCCTGGAGGCCCTCTGAAGCAGAAGTAGGATACTAAATAAATTTCTGCATGATTCCCTCGGATGCCCTTTGTCACTGTGAGGGCACAGACCCACCTTTTAAAGGTATGATGCTGGCAAAGGGTCCAGGCCGTTTTATCATTGAGCATTGTTATCTCCTCACACCTTAAAATGGGGTCTCCTGCCACTGATGATGATGAAATTTGCCTTTTTTTTTGTGACTAGAAATCCACCAGTCCCAGTCTTGAAACATCCTCCTTTTCATGTATACCTAAAAATTGAGAGGTCTCAAAAGCACAGAAACCTACACAAGCACTTTTCCAAAAATAACCTGCTCGTGCTGTTGCCAACACAGCATCTTGCCTGCAGGTAACCATTTTCCATTGCAGGGAAGGAAAGAAATGGTTATAAGAAACACTGTTGTTGCCTTGAACTTGAGGAAGTCTTTTGAACTTCTCTGATCTAATCAAGAGTGCTAGAAATAGCTGCTATCAGCCAAGAGAAGAGTGTTGGTGTGGCAAAACCTGGGGCACCCTCTCCTCTTCATGACCCTTGTCTCTTGGTGGAGAAGGCTGCCTTCTGCAGAATGCAATTTGGGAGATGTTTGGGGTTTGGTTTTTTCCTTGTCGGCACAAAACCTTCCCTTGGACAGCTCATTCTAGACACGGCGATGCTGGGCATGTGTGGAAGGGGTAGGTGATGGGACCTAGCAAGGCATGCAGCTCTCAGTTTCCCTCCTGCTGCTGCAAGGGTTAAGGTGTGTTTCTTAAATGACAGCACGTGTTTAGATGGCAGTGGGTAAGGGTGACTGTACATGCTGTGCACCTCGTTAGTGTTCATTCTTGTTGACCTTAATAAGCGTATTTATTGTTTATCTAGAGGGTCTAACCAAGTCTTTTTGCTGAGTTTCAACTTGTGATTCTCCTGCCTCGCTGCTGTCATTCAGGCTGCTGGAGTGACTCCTGTGGGTAGGAGGAAAAATTCCTGACACTTCAGGTACTGTCCAGTGAGTCGAATTGAGAACCCTTATGTCTGTGTCACTGCGAAGGGCTGGGAAAGCCCTAGTGAAGTTCAGATAATTCTGTTATTTGAATATACGAAATTAAGCATTTCACCCAGAATCTGACACTTAAATCCATGCGAATATAATCAATCTTGCTCTGAAAGAATCCGCATTGTATAAAAAAATAATGGAGAGGACTGAATGTCTTTAAGTAGAGAAACTACCTGTGGGTGGGCACAGAAGGAAGAAATGTGACAAGCCAGAGGGATCACTTGAATCTCATAATGTTGTAGAGGAATTCTGTTCATGTAGGATGGTGACTTCTGTTAAAACACAACTTTATTATTTAGTTGAAAGAAGATTGTAGTATTTTTTTTTAACTTTACCAGCTTTGTTTAAAGAAAGATAGTTTTGAGGTGTGTGTGTGAGTGCATGAGTGTGGTATGAAACCGGAACATTTCACCTAGCACTTCTGTCCCTGTTTAAAACACAGCTCTGTGGACTCCAGCAGCTCTCGTGTCGGTTTGTGTAACAGTACGTTCTTAGGGATGGGGTTCAGAATCTTCAAGGCAGCTCCCAGGTGCTGACACTCTCGCTGCCTGGGGGCCAAACCTGCTGGCTCACCTCCACTGATGAACCATGGTTAGAGAGGACCCAAATCACACGCACGTAGGAGAGAATTTGGCCAGTGTCTCAGTTACTGTCCCGTACTGGTGGAATCCTGTGTCGTACTTACTCTGTCGAGTTCCCAAGCACTGCCTCTACGGGACAGGGAGGACTAATGACATATTGCCACTCACTGGCCCGAGGCAGGTTGCTGTTTTCTCCTTCCACAACACCCAAATCTGATTCCGTAGCTGACCGAAAGCAAGAGATACCTTCCTGGGTGAATCACTGCCTCCACACCCCCATCCCCCCCCCATATTTACTGAGTAGAAGTGCTTGGGTAGCTCTTGCGTGGGGAAATACTGATGCGGGGGAAAGGAGAAGGTGTGACTCACCTGCAGACACTCGTGCCGAAGGGGGGTGATCAGAAGCTGTGACTGATGTTTGTGTTGGACTGGACAGGGTACCGGGGAAGCTGGGTTTTTTGGGGGGGTACCCCAGCACACCCTGCTGTCCCTTGGGGTGCCACCGCAGGCCCCCCCCTGTGACGTACAGAACAGACCCAGCGGATTCCTGTTGTGCGGCAGAAGCTGTTTGAACTTAGTCTTTTTTTTTTATGATATTATGATGATGGTTTTTAAATGTGACATTAACGAGACTTCTTTTTTTTTTTTGTAAATTGTTTTCCCTTCCTGTGTATAAATCCTGGCCGGTCCTTGGTTTGTTTGGTTTTTTTTTTTTACATGTCCATGCTGTGTAATTTTGAGATGTTACTGAGATTCT